TTTTTTTTTAAATTGAAGAGAAAAGTATACACTTTTTGATACCGTAAGCAGAACTGGCGAAGAAAAATTATTACACTCCGTACAGTGCGTCAAAGTGTGCAATTTTTTAGAGAAAAAAACATGATCTTAATTTTGAGAAAGTCCCGGGAAATGGGAAGAGTGAATGCAAATTCCAATAAGAGCTTCTTAAAGCAGAGGCTTTGCCCTATAAAATGAAAAAAAAACTTTTTAATTCGACCAGTTTTCGCGAAGTTACACTTATTTGAAATTCGTGAAATTTTGATCTAAATTTCTTGTTGCGTTAATTTTTTGGACCAGTATATAAAATTATGAATTATAAAATTAATTCTGAAAGATTAAAGAAATATGCAAAACAAAAAGAAAAATAACTAAAAAACGTGAATAATTACCGCTTTATAAATATATGTTAGAAATATGATATTTACATACGTGTGTTGAATTTAATAAACAAGCAGTACCTATATGATGTTTTTTTTATAGAAATAGTAATACAAAAAGTCATAAGTAAGTACAGATCTTTTTGCTGAAAATGCTAAAAATGAGCATAGATTTATTTTCCGTAATATAAAATAAATGTATTACAATAAAAATATAATATGAATAAATGTATGCATAACACTTGATAAAAATAATTCACTTGTTTCAAACGTATTAATATTATTAATGTTTATCGAAAAAACAACACCAAAAATTGTAATGAGAGAGATTAATATCTTTCATCCTAATTAGTTTGTAAAATAAATATAACAAAAGTATCTTAAATTTTGTTCTATGTATGTACATACATATATTAGGAACAGAATCATGATGCAAATTCCAAATCGACGAATTTTCAAAGACGATATTTCTTCGAAAATTTTTCCTTTTCTTCTTTCTGTTACTTTTTTCTTCTTGCTTGAATCTCATTATCTTAAATTTTTTACGATTAGAAGAAAGCCCTCTATTATGAGATAGACTAATGAAATAGCGGGGTTTCTGCTAAATTAATAGGCATCATCTGTTGGTTCCACCATGGATTTATTACCTTTAAAATAAAATCTTTAGTGAAAAATTCATTGTTAGACCACGTAATTATGACGAAAACAGATTTGTGACTAAATTTGGATGTTGAAAACCTGCTAACTCATGTTAGAAGTCTATTTCATAATAGGGGATTTTCTTCTAATACCGATTCTTTTCTCTTCTAAATCTTTCTTCAGCCTCTGTATTATTGCTCTCATATCATCTTTAGGTAAATTATTTACACTAAATTATTTGTATACACTAGAATGTGGAATTTTTATCATTTATTTTTATCTCTCTCGATGCTCTCTACTTATTTACTTCTTCTCCAGAATGATCCTCATGTCTAAAATTTAAATATTTCTGGTGAATTCAGGATCGAGGGTTAAGAGTTAAAGGGCTTGAAATTCAAGAGCTTGGTTTGAAGCGTTTGAGCATTAAGATTATGGCGTTAAAAAGTCTTGTACCTAAGAATCTGCGGCTCATGACTTGTGAACTACCACGTAATATAAAAAAAATTGTCTATCTTCAAAATGATATATTTCGATGGAAAAATATCGAATCGGGACAAAAAAGTTGATTTAAAAAATGGATAACAGTGATTGCTGACTCAGCAAACCGAATTACTTACAGATACTTAGAGATTGCTACTTCAACAGCAGTTATCTGAATATCGTCAAAATCCACATTTTTTACCCCTTTAAGGTGGTTCCTGGATAAACCGACCAAAAGTAGAAAAAATTGAAATTTAAATATATTATAGTTGCAAGTTTTATCTATCAGTACGCGAGATTTGAGACCCGGTCGCCGATGAAATAAAAGAAAGAAAAAATGTTAAAACTGTACATATTAACATAGGGATTATGGGCCGATTACTCGCAGAAATACTTTGAGGGTTAATGTTATTTCATAGAAAAGTGGATCATAACAAAAAAAGAGATAAACATAATGAATGGTATAAAGATTCAAATGCGCTATTAAATATTGTATATGAGGTCACCGACCTCTGCAAGCAAATACTTATTAGTAAAGTAAAATAAAGTGTGGCGATCTCGTGGCGCAGAGGATTGTGCGCTGGTCTGGTAATCCGAAGACCTGGGTTCAAAACCAAACAAAACATTGTTGGTTTTTCGTTCGATCGCCACATATAGAAGTGGATATAGAGAGAGATGTTATAAGAGGTTTGGGCACGTTCCTTCAAAAACGCCTAGTAACCCTAAGGGGAATCAATAAAATGTATTTATTAGTAAAGTAAAAAAAATAGAAGTTAAAATGATCTCGCTTCATATATACAGCAGTATTCTTCTGTTACAGTTGCACCGTCGTGCTGTTTAATCCACGACGAAACAGTCAAGCACACGTATTAAATGCCTGCCGGAAGACTGTGACCTCCCTGGCGCTCGCCGGAGACGGTAAACTCTTGGCCACCGGCGAATGCGGTCATATGCCGAACGTCCGTGTCTGGGATATTTCTGATCCGCACAACGTCGTGCAGATTGCGGAATTTCCGGGACACAAGTATGGTATCAATTGCGTGGTGAGTACTTACCTACAATGATATTTCATTTCGTGTGTCCGCAATCAAGCAATCTCCTCGTATTTTTCCAATCGATATTGTTTCTTTAATAACTTTTTAACAAACTACGAGCGACAACTAAAACCTTCTGAAGGTCACTCAGGAGGGTGACCTTGACAACATATGTCAAGGTCAAGGTCATTTGCAGGGGCTGACCTAATCTAAATATTTATCCCCACCTCATAATAGAGGGCATTCCTCTACTGTTTTCATTAACAACGACAGATAAATTCGCAATGCTTACAATTTAGTTAATTTTGCAGTATATCATCACAAATGTTAAGTAAATTGCACCGGACAAGAGACAGGAGGCTCAAGATTATTCCTACCTACGAGATATTAACAAAAGGACATTTATCTTTTGACTTTAGGCATTCTCGCCCAGCAACAAGTACGTTGTATCGGTTGGCTCGCAACACGACATGATTGTGAATGTTTGGGACTGGCGGAACAATGTCAAAGTAGCATCTAATAAAGTCTCCAGCAAAGTGAAAGCCGTCTGTTTCGCGGAGAATGGCAATTATTTCGTTACCGTGGGCAACAGGCACGTCAAGTTTTGGTACTTGGAGTATTCGCGTAGCGCCAAGGTAAGCTCTGAAACCCATCTCTTACATCTCACCGCGGAAACGTAAATGTCTCTCATTCTTTTCTTGGTGCGATAGAAGGACAGTAGGTCTTATGCAATATTTTGTTGTGCAGTACAAAGAACCTGTGCCCTTGATGGGTCGATCCGCTATATTGGGAGAGCAGAGGAACAATGATTTCGTTGACGTTGCCTGCGGTAGAGGAGAGATGGCGGATTCTACGTATGCGATCACCAAAACGGGCCTGTTGTGTGAATTCAACAACAGGAGGCTCTTGGACAAGTGGGTCGAGCTTAGAGTAAGTTACTCCGAGTGATTAGGCCCGGTTCTACGTGTGATAAGTGTAATACAAATGGTTCACGACCCATCTACTTCTAAACTTGTTTTTGGCTAATAAAAAAAACACAATGATGTTCTTCCAGACGAGTAGTGCCAATTGCATGGCAATCGGGAATAAATATATTTTTATCGGATGTGCCGAGGGTATTGTAAGGTGTTTTAGTCCTAGCACACTTCAATTTGTCACCACATTGCCAAGGACACATTACTTGGGTGTGGATGTTGCACAAGGATTATCCATCAGGTTTACATCTTTATGACATAATAATGACACACCTCGATAGTTCTCCGTTGTGACACTTGGGAATATCCTGTTGGCCTTTTTTTTAGCCATATGTCGCAACACCCGCCTAACGCGAGGTATCCGGACGCGATCGCGCTGGCATTCGACGAGCGAAATAACAAGCTGACTTGCGTGTACAACGACCATAGTATTTACGTTTGGGACGTGAGAGATATCAAACGGGTCGGCAAGTCGCACTCGTTCCTGTACCACTCGGCCTGCATCTGGGGCGTCGAGATGTATCCGGCCGATCCAGATCTCGTTGGTGCGATGCCGCCCGGAAGTTTCATCACCTGCTCTAGCGACGACACGATAAGGGTCTGGAATCTGGAGAGGGACAGCACGCTGAATAATGCTTTGTACAAACGAAATATTTACAGCAACGTCAGTATCCCTCGAGTGAAATTCAAGGGAACGAAAAGAGTCGACGTGTAAGACCAATGTTTTATTTTACTACCAACAGGAATTGCTCAAGGTATTGTACGTGGATCCGGAGTTGACTTACCTAAAGGATCTGGATCTAGCTGCCGCGGGATCCACCGAGAAGAGCGACGCGTCCTACGACGGTCGCAACGGCGTGAGATCGATAAGGGTCGCTCCCGACGGCAAGCATCTTGCTTCCGGAGACAGGTAAAACGAGAAGGGAATCCAGTTGTCGGATCATTAGAGAGGAAAGTTGCAATATTTTTGCTATACTTCCACAGATCCGGCAACATCAGAATCCACGATGTTTCCACGCTGGAAGAACTGTGCCTGATAGAGGCACACGATGCCGAAGTGTTGTGTCTAGAGTATTCCAGGTTCTCGCAACATCCACCGAACGCTCCTAGACTACTAGCGAGCGCGTCTCGGGACAGGTTGATTCACGTGTTCAGCGTTGATCAAGGATACAATTTTCTACAGACGCTCGACGATCATAGTTCTTCCATTACCGCAGTCAGATTTTTCAATCAGTTGAATCAGGGTAATCAGATACAGATGGTATCTTGTGGCGCAGATAAGAGTATTATTTTTAGACAATTGCAATCGGTGAGTAATCTTTCAGCGATCGACAATCAATTTTAGATCCGGCAAGACACCTCACGATTCTCTCTTGTATCTTTAGACACCAGGCGGAATGCCACAATTTGCCAGGGGTCGCAACGCTCAGGGAAAAACCACTCTGTACGACATGGAAGTCGATTCCGGACAGAAACACGTGTTAACCGCCTGTCAAGATAGGAATATCCGAGTTTATAATGTTACTACGGGAAAACACAGCAAGACTTTTAAAGGTTCCGTTAGTGATGACGGCTCGCTGATTAAGGTCGTCCTAGGTAAGATAAAAATTTATAGCTCTCCTCGTACGTTGTTAACTCCATTACAACACTGTAATAAAAAGACAAACGATGGATCAACCTCTTGTTAACGAAACAAGTAATGTATTTTCCAAGTATTCACACGATTTTGTCTACTCCCTGGAATTATTTTCTGTGGCGATCATGGCGCAGAGGATTGTGCGCTGGTCTGGTAATCCAAAGACCCGGGTTCAAAACCGAACAGCAGGAAATCGTCTTTCTTTGACCGTGAATTTTTTTTCTTTTGTGGCGCAACTTTTCCTCAGTTTAATTTGCTGTATCTTGTATGTATATACGGTCGCCACAGAAAATACTCTTTTATGTGAGTCATCAAATATCTCCAAATACCAATAATTGAAAAACTTTTTAAGTATTGATATTTAGAGGTATTTGAAAGTCTTTTTTTTAAATTACAATTATAATAATATAATAAAAATAAAATATAACGAATATTAAAAAATATTCCGTTGCTTATTTGTTTATGTTACAGAATTTTTTTACTCAAATCTTCAAACACCTCAACTTGCATAACACTATGCTACTATGTCTGCTTATAAAAATGTCAATCTCTAATAAATTTGTAGTGATACAAACTGATTAAGTGTTGCTTTAAAGAGTCAATTTTTATACTTTTAATATATATATATATATATATATTTTACAATTTGTAACTGCATTACATTACGTTATATAGCGTTCTTATGTATACATTTAGAATAATTTTGCTAATTGTAATACAGATATTATATTTTAAAAAGCGCTGCTTTTACACATGTAAAAATTGTAAAGACATTATGAATAGTTCTGACATAGAAATACACTAAGATAATTGTAAAATTAGAAAATATTAATATTTAACTGAAAATGATCTGATCAGTCTTGAGATTAAATTTTCATTATAGAGGGAATAAAAATTATATTTTAAATCCTGCCTGTTTAAAGATCTCACGATATTTAAACAGAAAATCGTAGATGCTTGTTACAAATTGTTCCACTGACCTCGACCGATATTCTACAAAGTGTCCTATTCGACGTGTTTTCAGATGCGTCCGGTATTTATGTAGCTACCTCATGTACAGACAAAACGTTATGCGTGTACGATTATTATAGCGGCGAGTGTATGGCCACTATGGTTGGTCATTCGGAATTGGTGACAGGCTTGCGCTTCAGTCCGGACTGCCGTCATCTGGTGTCTGCGAGCGGCGACGGCTGCGTGTTTGTGTGGCGTGTTCCGCATGACATGGTCGTGACCATGCAGGCACGTCTAGCCCAGCAAGCGATGCGCGCCGGCAAGTGAGTAGCCTCTTTTCTTCCCGTTCATAGATACTGCCGATCTTAATTGTCGGCTCCCGCTGTAATAATCGCGTCTCTCCCTGAATGTATCCTGTAGGAAACCGCTCCAAGTCAACGGCGGCGGAATCGACGTGCGATTGGATAATGAAACCTTTGGATCACCCCCGTCGGATCTTCTCGATCCTAACTCGAATCTGACGTCCCAGAGCGTGGATTACAGATTCAGCGTCGGTCAGCTGCCGTTGTGGGCGAAGAAGCAAATAAATACCGCGAATGTAGACGATAGCGTTGCTCTGGGCTCAAATGTCAGATCCCTCGGTGTCGACCTGCCAAAGGGACGATGGGCGCAAAGGGTTCAGCAAGGCGACGGTATCACCGTCAAGTCCGTTTACGATAGCGATGAAGTTATACCGTTTCCACCGTCGCGCGGTGCCATTGATTCGGATGGTGGCGGTGGCGGTGGTGGCGGCTCGAAAGACAGCTCCATCGACAGCGGCACAGAAACGAAATGTAGCAGCGACTATCGTCGAGAAACGGTGATTAGCAAAAGGGTTGGTAGAAAATCTTTGGGAGGATCCTTTTACGATAAATGACACAAGATTATAAAGAACTTTTTTAAAAACTGACGAACCAGAGTAGGTGTTTCTTGTAAAACATGGGTTGCTGAATCCAAATTCGTAACTTCGCCACGTCTAATTTCTTAGATAATCGAGAAAAGTAGCGGAAAATCTGTGAAAATTGGAAGAAACATTTCAGGAAGGAGTGTTTAAAGCAAAATCTACTGGACCGATTTCGGTGAAGCTTACTAATATTAGCTTAGAGATTAAAAAAATATATAAGCTGTTTGTTAGAAACTTTAGACTTCAGACCTTTTTCAAACTCATATTGGTAGCAACCGTTTACTCCATAGCCAACTATATGTGTACAACTTATATTTAACTTGCTTAACATTTACTTTCCAAAAGAAACAATTAAAGTTCACTTGTGAGGCTTTGAAGAGCCTTCTATGACTCGTGCAATTGCTTGATTTATTTTTGTCATGCAATTGATTATTTGTTAGTTTACATCGATTTGTTTGACAACATATTAGACTAGAATACATAATTAAAAATAGGTAAACTTTCCTTTTGGTTAATTGCACTTTATTTAATTTACTAAAATATAATTCAATCGGTTCTGTCCAAACGCATTTTGATGTTTTACTTATTTTGTTCTTTTTTTAAAAGTTTCTCCCAATTTTCTAAAAACCTAGATGGAGTAAAACAGACGACAAATTTGGATTCAGCGTTCCAAAATACAATATAGAAATACTCGCTTTGGTTCCAATTAATTTAACATGTTTTGTGGTTCTGTGTAATTTGCGATTGATAACTTGCAATGGATAGATTTCCAATAGATTGCAATAGCTTAATTAAGGATGAAGCAGGAGGGATGCAGTTGTGAAACAATTGCAGAGCCAAAGTTACCTTTATATTCTTTCCTCACTGATTGTTAGTCGATACATTCATCTTTCTTTAAATTATTCTCAAGCAGTTGATTACATTTGGATGGATACTTTTTTCTAAATAAGATACTTCGTCTAAATTTTAATTATAATATAATTTGAAAAATCGTGTTTACAAGCAAAGGGTGTTGCCAGGAGAAAACTTAAGATCAAAAGAAAATCTTTTTAGTTTTTCCTTAACCGTCGGCTTCTAAATATTTAAACTGTGAGAGATTTATAAATTCAAACCGTCTATTTTCATTATTTGGACATATCCGAAAATTATTTTGCATAACTTAAAACAAGCAGAAAATATTTTTTTGTGCAGAAACCAGTCGAATTTTGTTTGTTTTCAAGTTTATTCTCTCCCTTAAACACACAACTAATTATTTTTTAATAATAATTAATCATTGAATAACATCAAATATTATCGTACTCTGCTCATTGTATTGCTGCTTTCTCTAATTTGAAAATAGAATACCGATATTTAATTGCAATTTTAGGAAGAAGAGGAAAGTGTATTTCAGTCTTGTCCCAAAAGTTATAGAGAAATAGAAAATGAAACAAAACAGGTATTAACAAAGTAACATTAGTATTATCACTTGATTGTATGTCTTATATTATTTGTCTAAAAACAAATTCATCCTTGCTTATCAGTAATTTTGCTCTGCTCTTGCTTGTTTCATCTTTTTTTTGTTTTTAAATACTCGGGACTGCGCTGTTAATTTGCGTATTTCTTTCATTGATAAAATTTTACCTCGCTCACTGGTATAGGCGATTGACGACAAGGTGACAGTAAGAAGTAACAATTTTATGGAATTGACACGTCAATCGAGGAGTCGTCATCACACCGACGATAGCAGTCTTGGCAGCTTTAAATTTGAGGTATACCTGCTTAAAAGCGTGAAGCATTTTTCCAAAATTATTATATATAATAATTTCTCTAGGAAAAAATTTATACGTCACTTCTTCAATGGCAAAGCATGACAACCTAATTTACAATGCCACTTTTTCGAGCACTTCGACAAAGCATATCATATGCAAATAACATTTTCTGCCGATATTACATCCTCAATTGACATTATTGTTTTACTCATTGTAGCTTATGTGTTATCGGTGTCTGTAATTTAATTGTCAATTATGTCGTTAATAAATAATATCGCGTATTCTTATTTGAAAAATGTACGCCTTTCAGGATCACGAAAGTACCGAGCATGACGGGGATGTCGAGGATTATTCTGAAGGGGAAAACGGAACGACTGGTTCTGAAAAGTCGCATCATAGATTAATGTATTATCCCCCGCCAGAAGATATTGTGTCAAATCAGTTTACCGTCAATGCGATGGATGTTGAGGAACTTCGAAGGTTCGTTCCTGATTCAATTCTCTTATCAATCTATCGCGTGTCTCTTCGAATAATGCCAAAACGTACCTTACACGCACAGGTCGCAAAGGCGTCAAAAGAAATTGAAGAACGCAGAGAATGGTCGAACGAGCGAGTTGACCGCATCTGGCAGTCAGGACGAATCCGATTCCGAAGGCGGGGCGTCGACTCCTAGCGCCGAGAGAAATCCTCTGTCTATGTTATCCGAGGCTAGCTCGGAGGGTTTCGATCAGCTCGCCAAACAGAGTCACAGGGAAAAATACTTGAAGAATGCCTTCGAGTCGCTTAGCGGCGCGGAGGAGCCACCGAATCGCCCGAAAACAACAAGTATTAGTTCTCAGTTTCACGGAAGGTAAAGAAATCCAACCGAGTTGCCGTTTCACGATGTCAGATCGTTATTTCAACAATCACTGATCACCGATTAACTTGAATTGTTGTAGACTCAGTGGCGGCGAAAGTAACGCCGCCGCTGGCAAGACACGTAATGCGGCGGTGGTTAATGCGACAAAGCACGCGAGGGGCGACGTTGATGTTGCGAAGAAACGGGAAGAGTTGCAGAGGAGGATAGAGGAGACCAGGAGAAAATTACAAAGTGTAAGTGATGATCTACGCGTGAGAAAAATCAAGTACTTTACGGAGACTTTTGTGGTAAAACGTAAGTTTTATTTTTGCAGGTCGGTTATAGATCGTTACTGAAATCCAGCCAGAGCATATCCGACTTGAGCAGTCACATACAGGAAAAGCATCATCGTTCAAACAGACTCAGCACAGGTAACAGATCCGGCCAACAAAACCAATTTTCAAAACCGACCAATCCCTGCAAACCCATGCTAAATCCAAAGCCCACGTTTAAATCCCGACAGTCCACTAACAAGGTTCAGGGTGTGGGAAATGTGTTACCCAAGCTAGAGATACCAAGTGAAAACTGCTTGTCGAAAAGTCCAACTATGTTATGCATCAATGAGAAAGCGAAAAAATCAACCTTTAACCGTCCGTTAACGTTGACATTAAAAAAAACTGAAAAGTATAAGCTGTCTTTGAACAAAGCCAATCAATCGTTGCCCGAATCTCCCGTGTGCGAGGAATTGAAGTTGTTGAAGGAGCAGTGTAAGAAGAATATCAGTCGGTTCGCAAGATTTGCCCAGAAGAGAAGATCCTGCAGTTATTTTATCGGTCTGAATGACAACGAGAAGGACGTGGGAAGCGTTGCAAAATCTTTCGAGAGCTTACCCGCCATGAACGAACGGAACATGGAGAGTTTCAACGAGACCATCGACGATGCCGACGACGGCAACGGCAATTTCAGCGACGATTCATTAGAAGGGGATTTCAAGAATCCACCTCGGCGCTGCGTCAGTGATTATCAGATAAATGTTCATATGAATGACTACAGAAGTTATTTGAATTACCAGAATGTCCAGAAGAAGACTCCAACTGGCTCCCAAGAGAGTATACTCTCGGATGCCTCCGTCGAGTCGTTCTCCAAAGGAAGCGCCGAGATTCTGGATTACGATCACGACAGACACTCGAGCGCGAGCTTCTTCCTGTCTCGGCGCAAAATGCAGGAGGGCAGAAGTCAGGAGAGCATATTAACCGACGAGTCGGACTACCAGATGTTTCCCCTGCGCGAAAACGCCGATCATCGGAGCACAGAGAGCGTGTTGACCGACGACTCGGATTCCATGGTGAAATCGGCGCCTCTGGAAATGCTATTTGACTCACATTACAAGCGGAAGAGGCAAAATTCCGAGACCTACAGTGGAAACCCTAACAACATCACCGAGACCGCTGTGGATAACGTACAAAGTTCCGATGAAAACACACTGTGCCGAGCGGTGTTCAGATCCAAGTCTTTGCAGGACACGAGGATCAGCAAAGCGAGGAACAATACGAATTTCACGGAGGACAACGCATCGCTGACGACTCACGTTTACTGTGAATTCAACTTCGACAAAAATGACGCAAACGCAACGGGTTGCAGCAAGTCGGAATCGACCCCGCGCGGCAGCAGTCCGAGACCGGAATCGATGATGATCCTGAATGATTTCGTTGCTCACAAGCCACCGAAACCCAAGAGAAACTCGTCCCGCACTCAGAGCATGCGCAACCGAGCTAGACCAGCTTGGAAGTACATGGACACGCCGCCCTCGTCGCCCGCTTTAAAAAGCGTCGCCGATTCCGACAATTACACGGCGTCGTCCATGAGTTCAGTTTGTTCCGAGTACCGTGTTACGCCGGGCGACCAGGAAACCAAGCGAGATTCGATCGATTCCGAAGTGATGCAGCAATTCTTGCAGTCTGCGAATTGCGCAGCGCAGTTTGACGACAATAAGGACAGCGGAGGCGAGTTCTATAGTCTGCAGACTTGCGCCGATAAAAATGGTACTTTGCAGGATGAGCTGACGTACGACAGGGACGAGTCTTCGAACTTAACGAAAGATCATCACATACCGAAGATTCATTTCGATTCAGACAAGGCGCAAGTGAGTTTATTTGACAACGACATTCCGACGAAGGATATGTACGAGACTTACGACTCGTTGGAGCCCACCGGAGTTTCCGGCGACCCGCAGAAAGAGGAGCCGTCGCTTGGCGGTGCAAATTTACAGTCCGCCAACGAGCGTATCGACGATTTCAACGCGAGCGTGGATTTCCGGATAACTCGCGCGATCGAGGGCACCGTGAAGCTACTCTCGCAGGAGTTCGAGAATTTGGTGAGGCAAAAGCAGTATTTGACGAGGGAGAGGTATCTGCGATTAACGCACGGTCAAGAGGCGAGCGAGAACTTTGCCAAGTTAGAGGCCGAACCGGACGGTAGACTCTACCCAGTCAAACGCAATATCAGGCTGCACTCGTACGGCGAGGACAGCGACTGCGCCGACGTGTCGACGATGGACAGGTCGCTGATGGAGAGCGGCTCCTCCACGTCCGCCTCAAGTTGTACCAACTCGCCCAAGAGAATGTGGCCGCCCGCGTCGCGCTGTCCGAGCCACGCAAGTCACAGGTGGACGAAAACTCTGCCGACGATCGATCAAACCATTTTTGCTACCAAGCATTCTTATGCAGGTATTGATAACGAGTAGAAAATGCTTGCGTATATTTTCTACGTGTTGTTCAATTTTACGTATTCCAAAGTCAAGTGCATTTACGTCGCAACATTGATTGTGAGTCGTTTATGGAAGAGATATACTTTTTGTATGTATGTATTATATGTACATATACCTCGTTCTGTTGTAGATGTATGCAATTATACAATAGGTGCATATTACGGAGATAGTTGGCAAAATGAAGGAAATTTTTGAAAAAATCAGTCGGGTATTCAAATGTAAAAGAGAGAAAATTCATCAATCGTCAATAGTCCAATTCTGCTTTCCACAACTTTGAGTAGTTGACTGTTAACTGTTATGCCTTTTGGTGTAGAAGCTTCCTTGTGGAAATATTTTATTGAAAGTATTATGAAATCAATGAAAAGTGAAACGAAAGTTATTGAAAAATTATTGAATTGTAATTTTCCTTATGAAATTCACTGTGACACTGTATGAGATATAAAGAAAGTTAAAGTATACTGTTGAGAAATCATAAAGAAATTATGAAATGTTAGATGTTATAAAATTTATTGAATTTAACGAAACATTTTTTAAACAACTTCTCACTGAATCTTTACTGAAATAACAAAAATGAATTGAGAGAGAGAGAGAGATTTTCAAATACATCTCAGCTGAAAAAACCAGTCAAAGAAATTTTATTCCGATCACATGGTTCAACTGTGAACTATTTGTGCAGAACGAGGAAAATTTTCTCCTTGCATCTTGATGTACAACAGATACTTTTGTTCAAAAATTTCTTTCATTCTTTGCGGATTACCTTCGTAGTTAAATACAAAGGTAAATTGTCGCAGAGTACCACAGTCCACTTATTCATTGCTTACAAATAGTCGCGTTCGATTTTGTTTCAAGACGACAGCATTTTACTTTTCAGTTTAAACGCATTTCGAGTCGTGCTAATAATAAGACTTGTTAATATATTTGATCATTTTCATTTTGTACGGAACGCAACCGCATGTTTTTCTCATTAAGTTACAACATTATCCCTCTTCCCCTTTCGTTGCTATCCTGCTCTCTAACGTCTTATTTTATTATTTACTGTGTGCAAAAAGCTCCGGGTCAAACGACAATTATAGTTGTAGAAAATGCATAAAATCAAGATTATTTTGAACTGGATTTTTTGCACATAAAGAAAAATTACATTCTACATATATATACATCAATCAATTTTATTTCTTTTTACATTATTACGTACACCTTTATTAGCCAATGAAAAAACAGTGTTCTTGTAATTTATTTAACTACTTAAAAATAAAAGGATATAAATACATGCCTTTATAGAACTAGCTTCAAAGAACTTCTGATTGACCTTGATATTGACTTTGACCTCTAAGAAGATCAAGAACATGGATCTTCCCGTCGCTTCTTTGATTTCCTTCGAGGAATGTCAACATTAAGGCCAGTCAGAAATCATTTGGGGCTGGTTAGTGTAAAGGTGAGCTTAATAGAAGTTTCTTTAAAAAAAGAAAAACAGAAAAAGAAAGGCATTATGTAAATAGTAGCGATTAGTGCATGTGTATGCGCGTTGTCAACAGCTGGCAGTAGTGGGGGGCGAATCTCGTCAAAAGTTATTGACAGCGAGGAGGAAGAGAGTGGCATGAGACGCGCCTGTTCGTTGAGTGATCTTTCCATCAGTCCTTCAAATAGGTTGTTGCATGGCCCTGTACAAGGTATCTCTCACCGTTCTGTACGGATAATGTATTTTTATACACTTCCATGCTCAATGAATTAATTTGATATGTGTCGTTCCAATTAAATTTAAATTTCCATTAGATATTTTGCAATTATAGTATATCTGTCTTTCATATTAACCCGTAAGTGCTCGCATGGGAGTGAAATTAATTTAGAGGCAAGAATACTTCTAATATTTCTAATGGTTAAAAATTATTATTTCGTTCAAAACTTGTCTCAGTTTTAAACAAATATTCGAATGTTTTATTTTATTTAAACGAGTAATTGATAAAAAATTTACACAAGAATCGTTTGCGCACGAAATACAAATAGATCAAAATGTGGATCGAAGTGGATCCTGCGCGAGAATTTACAGGTCGGAAATACGAATGAAATATCCGGGTAAATTCTCTTCCTAATTAGTGACAACAGTTTCAGGAAAGTTGGGAAGTAAAAATGTAGGCGCAACATCAAGATTGGGCGGTGCCAATTCTAGCGGTCAGTCCAGATACGCTTCGGGGAAAAGTCACTCGACTCATATAACGAGAAGCAGCAGCGTTGGTGTTTTAAACCAAGTGTGTTTTCGTGGTGCACGCAATAAGAACCCCGAGAATCATAAACACGTAAGTGCACGTTGAATAAAACTTATTGCAATTTGTAGAGCGACTCGGAATCGGACGCCGGTATAACGGGAGGAGGTAGAGGGTGGAGCGGTCAATCTAGCACCAACAGTAGGACTAGCGGTCTGATGCGACCAACGATTAGTTCTCAAAATAAAGTCAATCATCAAAATAAATCGAGCTCTTCTGGCAACAATGTTTCGTCAATCCTGAGAAGACGAGGGATGCAAGGAGCTTTCTCGATTGGTAAATTTAAATTCTCATTTCATATCAGCGGCTAGACGTACGAACAGATATCGCTTTGTTTGCTTAAGATGTACATTTCTCTCGCAGTTAATTTAAGTCAAGTGGGAAATCAAGAAGATTCGAGTTCGGAAGATACCTCGTCAAATGGAAATGGAGGAAAACCGGCGCTACCGCTGAGACCTAGAAGCATCAGTATTGATCATTCCTCTGCTAGGTAATGATTATATTCATGCAACTGCCAAAAGCGTTTTACTCTCATCGCCCAATATTACTTTTCATTATCTAAAGCATTTACCTAATTATTATAGATCATTGTCATAATCATTAGAATTACGATAATAAATACAAATATATATAAAACAATATCTATTTTGATTAGCTTAAGTTTACCCGGTACAACTGTAAGGAGATCTGGATCGGCAATCATCACAAATGGCCGGATTGGTGCTACGATCGGGCAAAATGGAAATAGGATATCCACGGCGAGTAGAATTCAGTTGGAGCCTAGTCCACATGAGCTACCAGTTAAAGACACCGATCGTGCTATCGATGTGGCTAGTGTCGAACGTGAGTATATCAATATTGAACTCGCAACGGTCATAATTATTTCTCTGTCGTTATTCAAAAACTTCTGTTTGCAAGATAAGATCTATAATGCTAAGATACAATTTTCTTTTCAATTTATATTATAATTGCGGATGTATCTTTAGATATAATCAATATTCTTTGATATCAAATTAATAATATTAACCCTTGTTGGTCACTGTGGGGTCCAAAAGACCCCAAACTCACGTTTAAAACTTTATATCTGTAAGTTCTAAATTAAAAATTGATCTTAACTCATTGTCTACCGATAGCTTGAGAAATCCTCTTTACGCTCTGACATTAGATATTGCCGGCAGCATATTTGTTTAGATCTGGCGGCTGTTTCGCACGTTGAGATCCGCTGAATCGCCAGTAAGACCAAATTCTAATTTGGTGTGAAAATTTTGCAAATTTCTTTTCGTACATTATTATCTTTGGAAAAATATAAGTGCAAGTTTAATAACCGATTAATTGTTTTCTACGAAGTTTATACGTATTTATTTACACTTATATACAGGATGTCCCCGCAAGCCGAATCTGCCGTAAACGGTAAGGCCTGTGACCACGATGCTAGAACGTGGTCCAAGTTCTAGTCCCAAGAAACGTATAGCCAATCAACTTGCAGCTGTTCCATAAAAGCCGCAAGTTGATTGGCTACACATTTCTCGGAACTGGAATTTGGACCAAGTTCTAGCATCATGGATACAAGTCTGTAGACAGGGCGGACCAAACTGCGTGTAGAAAAGTCTTGTACCATTTTGTAAAATTCGCAATTGATTTTGGCCCTCGGAAAGTAAAAGCGATCATGTTTCTGAAGAATCGGAAAGTACCCCGTGTGCAACTCTCAGAATGTTGCACATGTATGTTCATTATTGGAGGCCTAGAATATTATTTTGTAATAAATTAAATTTGCTATTGTTTTGAGGAAATGCGTAGCCAATCGACTTGCAGCTTTTGCGGAACAGCTATATTGATTGGCTACATATTTCGCGGAATTAGAACTTGGACCAAGTACATCCTGGACACAGGCCTTAATTCGCCTGAATAGATACAGAGTTTCTAAGTTTCTAAACAGTTGCTATTCTTTTCATCGGTGCTGTCGATACGTTATTGGCCGAATGAGATGTATTCACAGAATGATTACGGTAGAAGAAAGATACGTGTTATACATATAATATAAAAAATAATAAAGTTCTTAGTTTGTAAAAATATTCAGTTTAGTTGGTGCCATTTGATGATATCATTACTTTTGTAGAGAAGATACTTTGGAGGGGGGAGAAGATAAAAATTTTGTTTAAATAAAAGATATCCAAGTAACTAAATTATATACTTCTTGATTGGATGACGCTTATACTTGGCGTCTTTTTTAAACCTTTTTTTAAAAAGGTTATTTTTTAAGGTGATAGTGTAAACATCGCACCGTTTAAAAGTCGGTAGGGTCAATTGGATCCCTATGTGACTATTACGTCATTCTCAGGAAGTTTGACCAATACAAAGGTCAATTTATACTTAATGTATGTTATACAAGCGATATCTAATGTTAACTTTATTATTGCAGTAAGCATGGATAAAACATTAGGTAATCCAGAAATAATAATATTAATACTGCATTGTGAATATAATATTTTGCAAGGATAGGAAAGTTACTTCTTAAAAATAACTAGTTACTGTTACTCATTACCGAATAAAAAGTAACTAGTTACCGTTATTATTATTTAAAAAGTAACGATTCGTTCCTTTTTTCGTTGCTTTTAATGCCAAAACGAGATAAGAGATAAGACTAAATAAGAAATAAATTTGTTCTTAAAATGCAACTACAAGGATTGTTATAGGATTTTGATTATAGAATTGTTTGATTAAGATTATCGCTATCGTCGCTGTAGCCTCCCATACAGCACGCATGTTACCAATTCGTTACCAAAGAAAAGTAACTGTAACGGTAACGGCGTTACAAGTAACGCGTTACTTCCCAACCATGATATTTTGTATCTAAAATATGCTGTAATGATTGCAATAACAGAAATTTTATAAGTTTATAAGTTAGGGAATTATAAAATCATAGAATCATAACTCGTAATGGAGCTAGATGTTTTCCATTTTGCAATTAAATTTTGTCAATAATATATTAACAAAGTCGAAGATGTATTATTTCAATTCTTGTTGTATGTACTTTACAAATCATTTAATATAAATATAAATAAACATGCATTCAATTATATTTCGAATAATTTGTACGAAGATTTTTGGATTATATTTATATAGGAATTTCATACCTATATAAATATAATCCAAAAATCTTTGTACAAATTATTCGAAATATAATTGAATACATGAATATTTAATTATATTTATAATTCTGTGTTTCCTTAAGAAAAATACAGTGTATTTTTTATTTCTTTAAGATATCCCCCACACCTAACACTTTTTTCGAAACATAATTTCATTTTATACGGTTGAATTTATAACGAAATAATCTTTGATTCAGTAATAAAAAGATTTCAAAATTTTGAACAAGTATCGAATATATCAAGCGTGTACCGGATAGTCATATAAATATCATATTTTCGAATCTTTGGCGCGATTATCAGTAGGTTGGAGAACTCGACGAAACGTTTCTTCGAATCATTATCTGGAAAGGTTCAAGAGAGTTTATCATTAAGAGATCATACGACTTGATACTAATTAGTAGACGCCAATTTGGTGATCCCGATTTTAAAATATGCGATATGCATGCGTCATTATTTATTCTACGATTGCATTTATAAAAGTAACATTCGATACGCGTTCTTGCAGTGTCCACACAACTGTGCAACACAATCGCGGACGAGCTTACGCGCACCGCAGACAACGTCGTGCAGTTGTACAAACGTTTAACGATAGACAACGACGACGACCCGTCTAGAGGTGCGATCGACCGGGACACAATGCTACGTGGATTGGAGTCGTCTGTTAACGAGACAATGCGTACTTTACGGTTGGTCGTTGCCGGCGGTAGCGAGAGCGACGGAAGCGGAGGAGATGCCGTCGCTAACGAGGCGACGGCCAAGTTTCAGGAATTGCTCGCCGGTCAGGATCAGGGCAAGGTGGTCAATATGATGCAGCAGTATTCCGAGCTGCTCTTGACTATGATGCAACAGAGGATGGGAGGAACTCAATCAAGTCACACGTAAATCCGTCCGTCTGAGAATTGATATGGAAAACGTGATTGCCATCGTTATTTAATGTATCCACGAGATAATATTTACGAAGCACTTGTTTCGCGGTAGTCTGTTTTCAAGCATTGTATTATTGATCCTTTCTCTTCGATATGGAAGGAGTTGAATGTGTTTCGCTTCGTAAAAATGGAAAGGAGTACGTTCCCGCGCGTGAAAACTCTGTATACATATCGTGTAGCCGCACGGACATTCTCTTTTCCCTTTTGCTAGTTGTGAATCCGTATCCGTTTTTTTGTGATTGATTCTTAAATTTGATAAGATAAATTAATGTCAGTAGATGGATATGTCGTCAAAGTCTCTTGTCATCGTTTTTTTTATATCCTGCGATGCGAGGTATAAATTATTATTGTCTAACCGCTAATGGATATTAAAATTCTCCAACTGCTATAAATATTAAAATTAGTCTATGCCATCCGCGTCTACTAGACAAATCACCGAGACAATGAATGAGGATGAGATAAAAGTATCGTAGTTGTTTAATGTAAAGCCGATTGTGACGGTCGCAAACATTTGTACTTTGTTGAAGCCATATATCGTAAAATGCCAATTAACTGAAGACTAATAGAATAGTTTCCAAACAAGTATATACATATATACATACTGATATATTGAACGACGATATTAATATTAGTGCTTTTATTATGTAACCAAAGGTTATCTGTATCAATGGTCTAAAGGAAGGGACGCCCCTCCTTCTTCCTTTGCTATTAAAAACTTGGCAGAAAGTTGTAATAAAAAGAAAAAACAACATAAAGCTTGCCAGTATGAAATAAAAGTTTAACCACATAGTCATTGCATTAAATATCAAATCGGGCCACTCGAGCCTGTCAATAGAGAGATTTGCCAATATTTTAATGAAATTTGATATCTCAAAATCTCAACCACGGAATTGTATTATTTTATCTAGGATTATTAGTTATCTATCGTGACTATAAATTATATAGTTTTAATATCAAAGTATCTTAAGGCTTCTTTTTTAATAATAGACTGCATTGAATGAAAGTTACAATTGATACTTACTCGATTATAAATAATACTATCCTACATATTTTATCACAGAAATTAATATGCTTGCATATTTTTTCACGGAGAAGCCGCAGTTCCATGAAATTGTCAAATTTTAAGTGTCCTGCTTAATTGTAATTACAAAAGATAATATCTCAGTGAATTTTTCAGAACTGTATCGAATAATCAAAGTAAAAAATACGTGTTACTAACTCACTACTGCTACAATTGTAATATTTCTTTTTCCAATTTTTTTATGCATATTATGTCTTCTATTTTAACATAATTACCATTTTTTTATTAAATTCCATTTAACGAGTGCCATTTAAGTTAAAGTAATGGTCATTCAATGGTACATATTATGTTTGTGTATTAATTTATCGCTTACATTGTTGATTTCCGAGTCGAATACGATCATTCGAGTTGCATTCTCAACACCGTATCCTCTTTTGTGTACGATACCAACGCTTCTTTCCTATTTATAAAACTGAGAAGTAAAACTTTTCAATTAGCTCATTTAAATTCTAAACGATATAATCTAGCTACACGATATAATCGAGACTAAAATGATTAATATTAGAAATTAGAATTTTGTAATTAGTATCAACATTTTTAACATTATTTATTAGTGCAGGCAAAACATAGATAACGTACATTATGGAATCTCATTACATATTGATGATAGTTAACTAGCGTCATGCGATAAGAAAATCATTCCGAATCATCATTCTTATTATTGTAATTAAACACGTATATACTTTCGGTTTATCTAAAAAATTACAATAACTTTGTACACAGTTGTATTTGTTATAAGCTAAAGTTATTGTTATCAGTTATGTAATATGTTATATTGCTTCTATAATGTATAAATATTTATTCAAAATTAGTTAACATAGTAAATAATTTGGTATTACAAGTGCCAAATTCGCCGTAATCGTATCGCATAAACATGTAACTTAGTCATTTTATTTTGTATATTATGTTAATATTATAAAGTAAAATTTTTGATCATCGTTGAATTCTCTTATTTATTGCAAGCAATTTGTTAACCATATTATTTTACAAATTTTTTTGTAACACAGTACATTGACCGCTACTTCTTGCCACGTAAATGATACATGAATAATGCTGCAAGAATTAAATAACTCGAGATTTTAATTTTTCTTCGAAAACGCTAAGTCTAATAAAAATATTATTATTTCTATATAACAATAATATCCTCTGTATAATTACATATGTATATCAAATCCATTGATTGTATGCCTATTACTGTATGTGCAAGCAACACATACATACATAACGTGATACGATATGTGAACATATGTATGTACATTTTTATACTTTCCTCTTTTGTGCATTCCAATTTTTAACATTGGTATATTAAAATGTTTGTTAATCATGATAATGAAAAACTTGGATCTGCTTAATTGTACCTTAATGGAGTATAATTAGGAGAATTAATATAATCAAACATTCTTTGCATTAGCAAATATAGCTCAAACAAAACAAAAATAATAAATAATATCGCTCATAATGATCACGGTAAGTGAGCCATTGTAATTATTGCTGCATATCTTTACTTATTGCTATTCTATCTTGAGTTTTGCACGGCAGTGACAATATCAAAAATAAGCGTTAGAAATTCAGTTCGTTTGAGATTTTTTTAAAATATGTAGATACATACTTCACACAGAAATTGCAAGTATTACTAGTATTTTGGCACTGCTATGTTACATGTAAACTCTAGAAATTATCTTGAGACTTTTTCCCGCAAGATTGCTTCTTGTGCTCTCAGTACTCTTGGTTTCTTTATTTACCTTCCATTCGATTGTCGCAATTCCTCTAGCTACGGAATGAATAAGCATGCAAGCATAATATTATTATTATTATATCGAATTATTTAAATTAAACTTTTAATTATTTACCTCTTTCTCTTCATCAACTTCATCTTCGTCATCTGAACCGTGTACAGAAGCGGCCGGTGTAGTGTGCCGTGAAGATGACGGAGAAGGTGGTTCGCTGATCGGTCTGGGATAATTGAATCGGCCAACCCCACCCTCTGCGTATTCTGACGCCAGTTCTGGGTAGACGGTGGTCAGTGCTTTTATTCTTGCTTGACGATAATACTGTTGAAAACGAGCATACAGAAGAGATACATAAGATACGAGATAAATACTCATCAGCACAGAAACGTTGCAATCTTGCAGAGACATTGCAGGGATATAAAATTGCAAACTTTCGATAGCAATATTGCAGCAATGTTTCAAAAATAATGAAAATACTATATTTCCTATTTAAAAAATTTTTCTAATTACGAGAATTTTATAATGTTATTTTCGTTGATACCAGTAATGCGCGAATTATTAAGTACTTGATCAGTGCGGCGTTGCTCGCAATCTCCATATCCTATTGCGAAGCGACATAATCTTCTTGGGTTGCTTCGCAATAGCTTGCTGTGTATTGAAAAAGGCCCGGATGCATATATATGTAATTAATAAATTCTCTGCTTATGTACAACAACGACAAATTATTCCAAAAATATTGCACCGCAACGTTGCTACAATGTTGCACTGCGATCTCTCTGAGGGCGGACATTTCAACGTTGCTGCGATCATCCAGAAACGTTGCAGCAATGTTGCGCAACGTTGCTGCAATATTGCAATCTTGCAATGTAACATTTCTGCAATCTTCCTGCAATCTTTCTGTGCTGTGTGGGTACAGTGAGGTGCATATATTTTATCTTACAATGCCAAGATTACGCCAGTCGAGGAGGTCGCTGAGACGCTCTGTACGATTTCTCTGAATAATACGTTGACGGCGGCTGAGTCGTGCAAAATCGAACATGTACTGCGCGAGCTGTTGAACACTCGCTTCCAAACCAATGAAACGCCTGTCAACAATGTAGATACCGTAGCTCATCGGATCCGCTATATGTTCCTGCATAAAACAGCCGAATCCTGACAAGTTAGTTGTGATGCTGGGTATTCCCATGACTGTGCACTCAGCTGGCGTATAGCCCCATGGTTCGTAGTATGAAGGAAAAACACCCAAGTGGCATCCTCTGACAAATTCCTCATAATCAAGACCGAATAGTGGATTTGTGGAAGATAAAAACTCTGGATGAAATACCATCTATAAGTAACACATACTACAGTTTTGTATCAACGTTCACTTTAAACTCTGCGCAGTGCATGCATATGTGTTTGCAAATTTTACCTTAACGCGATCGTGAACGGTATTAAAGAGATTACATCTTCTAATGGTGTTTAACACTGGATCGTTCCAATCGTCGATAACATTGTGTGTTGTAATAGGCGGCAATCCGTTCCTTTGCAGAGCGTACAAACATCTGTAAGACAAAGTAGAACGTCAGTAAATCGAACCAGTTGTTACAACAACAAAAAATGTTATCTTGATTATTTTTAGATAGACCGTTTTATTTTAATAGTATCGTCTTTCTGCAACAAATCTTGAGCCTCAGGCATACGACCGGAGAGACACAATTCGTACATTCGTTTCCCTATTTTTTGCTGTATATCATTAATAGTGTCCCGTAGAGATTTTGTTACCTGATAACAATAATGTGACAAGATAAATTATTAGAGTTATTATAATAAATTATAATCATTATAATATTTAATTATTTCAAGTATTAAACTAACGTTATATAAAATATTAACATTAACAATGACTCACGGCGTGACCACGAAGAGACTCGACATTGAAGTTATTGGTCTTCGCAGGAAAAATGAGAAAAGCAACTACTGTTAGATCGGGCCTGGACGTTTTCAAATAATGGTTTAATCTGGCTAAAGCTTCTATGAATATGTCAGCTCCTTTGTTTCCAAATTCATACCGACCAGCGGTGAAAAAGTATAATGTTTTGTCTAAATCAAAATCATAATGTCTGCGAACATAAGTTTGAATATTGTATGAGTTGTATATTGTGTATATCTATTTTTAAAAAATTATGGTCAGACAAATTTTGAAACACATGCGTTATCCATCCATTCAGAACATTTATAGTTCAAAAATTTCTAAAACTAAGAGCATTTAAAAATCAGTGTTACAAATTATTGAACTTATTTTTGATGACTAAATACTGATAACCTTCAAAATGACCTTGAAAACAATCTTAAGAAAAAAATTAATTGTATCGTCAAATTTGATATCTTTATATCTAACGGTGGAAGTTTTCTCTGAAATATTTTTCTCCATCTTTGAATCTCGTAGAGATATTTAGAAGTTTTACATTTTGTTTCATCGCACGCTCGTGCATGTATGCGTACACTCATTACAATGTCTACAGAGAGAAAGATTCGTTTGATACAAACCCATAAAAGTGACCTCGCACAAATTCATGTATTTTCTCTTTACTAATAGCGTGTAAATTCTGAAATTCATGCAGTGCCGCAAATTTCTTTACATTTAATCCGTTCGGTGTAATAATATCAGGCTTGCGTTTAAGTAAATGTTCGGCTTCGAAGCCAGTGATATCTGAAACTGTCGTGAATACGTGTGCAAGATGTGAAGCTGCACGTTCCATGCAATATCTGTGATATATCTGACGCTTTCCTGCTTCTTCATCAACACTGAACTGTAAAAAGTATATTAGCACATTATTGAACATATACCACGTATGTATATTCAGCATTTTAAATGTTACAGAATATCTCCAAATGGATAATGCGAAAAAGGGAATGATTTTACATTTAAAAAAAATTAAAAATATAATATGAAACTCTTCTGTGCTCGTTTGAAAATAATTGGTTTAAAAATGAGAAAAATAATGTTTTCAACCTGAATATTCTCTTCAATAACCATATATGTTATATTATGTCAAATAAAAAGATATAAAATTTTATGAAACAAAATAAAAATAAACTTGATCGTAACTGCTCTAGTATTGACATTAACTTAACTTTTTCTGAATTGTTCTATTAAATGAAGTAAAAAGCTCTTTATATATATTGTGTATAGCAATTATGTAACACGCGCGTGCGCGTGCGCGTGCGTGTTCGTGAGATAAGGAAATAAACGCAAAAAATGAAGAGAGAAAAGATAAAGACAAAACTTTACATGCCTTATCTAGATTGTTGTAAAAATCAGTCTTTCCTGCGCAAAGATATCTACCCAGAAGTGTAGCGTGAGTAGTAAATACCGTGGCCACATCCACGTGTCTTGTTCTCAAAGCAATTAAACCAACGCCTGCTTGCCATTCATGACAATGTACAACTACTCGCGGCGGAATGCTTGAGTATCCTTCGGCTGCTTTTCTATCAATTCGTTAGCAAAAGAAAAGTTGACAGTTTACATAAGTTGCATGGAATAATAAGAAAATGACAATATCAATTTACCTAAATTCTGTAATAAATTGACAGACTAGATATCCGAGTATTACGGCGTCATTAGCTTCAATATCAAGATGAGGTATTCCAAGATTGCAAGTACTCCATAATTCTTGCTTATATTCATCGAGCTTCCAAGCAGCGCTTCCAATATCGAATAGAATTATTTGAGGATTTCCATCCACTAACCATGTCCCTGTTATTACCTTAATGAAAACATTTTATAAAATAATCAAAGTGAAAAAATGTTTCAATTTTAATATTTTTATAAATATCACTATATAAACAAGAACTTTATCATTACCTGTTAAAATTAATTAAGTCTTGAAAAGAGAAACGTGAGTTTTTCCTTAAGTTTTCTCGATACCGAGATAAAACTCAATGCATTTTTAAAACTATTGAGTTAAAAGTTTTTGATAGTAATAACGATTATTAGTTATAAAACAAAAATTATTGACTTTTACTTATTGAATAACCGATTTACATTAGCAAAACATGAGTTAGTTGTGAACGCAGGTGCTATAATGCTTGGCATAAAATTTTGAGCGATTTTGATGGCTTTTGTGACAATTTACTGACAAATTGCCTACTGGGTTCATATATTATAAATATCCCAATTTGGATACACAGGGTGTTCCGGTAAAGGTTGGTAATCTCTCGTGGACTTATGAAGTAGGTAAATATAACCCCTTTTTTAACTCATTTAAATAATATCAAATTAATCGTGTTAAAGTTATAATAATTATTAAATTTTATTACTTATTGTTAGATATAGTCAAAAGTATAAGTGTTGATAATAACGGACTTGAAAGTTTTGTAGATTAAAGGAATCAATAGTGGTCCGTTCCTGCCTCTTCAACGTGGTATTAAGAAACTTATAAAGATTTTTTTTTTACAAAATGTGAAACTAATTATTACAACTTATTAAGATCTGAACAATAATATAAAAGCTATTTAAGAATATTGATTTAGAAATTTTTAAAGACGCGTTATAAAAAATAATTGTATAGGAACTTGTGGAGTTATTTTTACCTACTCTGTAAGTCTACGAAAGAATGCCGGCCTTTACCGGAACACCCTATATATCAGATACAATCAGATTTTCTATAGTTATACAGGGTGAGTCTTTCCATATCCGACAAAATTTTTGAGAAGGTAGAACGGATCGAGATGAACGGAAAAGTCCTGTACCATTTTGCAATTTTCATAATAGTTAACGAGTAATTAATTATTAAAAATCGTTGTCTTAGGCCGGCCTACCGTCCAATTCGAGCGCGTGGCAAGATGTGACCGCCCGGCGATCGATATTGCTATGCGCACGTCTCGCCACGCGCTCGAATT